AGTAAACCCAAGTCTTCCTAGGTCAACCTCTGTCTTTCTTAACATACGTCAAATCTAAAATATCTACTCTCCTAATCGGATCAACAGATGGTCGACGTTTAATGTGACCGAACCATCTAAGACGGCTCTCTCTAATTTTGTCTGTCACTGAAGCTGTACCAACTCTATCACGGATATATGCATTTGACATTTTGTCTCTAACTGTAAAGTCACTCATCCACCTAATCATTCTCATCTTTGCAACACTTAACCTAGTATTATGCTTCCTTTTTAAAGACCAACATTTCGTACTATAGAGCATTGCAGTTCTCACCACCTACTTATAATTTTTTTCTTTCAGTCTAAGTGGTACTTTTCTATCACACAATAGGCCTGAAGCATTCCTCCACTTCAACTAACCAACTTGAATTCTACTATTAACATCCCCATCTATATCACAATCGCTTTGAACAATAGAGACCCGAGATATCTAAATTAATAGACCCGAGATATCTAAATTGTTCACACCTTTTAACAATTTGATCACCCAAAGTTACGCTTCTATCACTAGAGCTAATACTAGTAAAACTACATTCCATGCATTCAGATTTAGTTCTACTCAAACGAAGGCCTTTAGACTCCAATGTAGACCTCCATAATTCAAGTTTTTCCTTGGTTTTTCTCTCGTCTTATCCATTTGAAGGATATCATCAGCAAAAATCATGTACCAAGGTACATCCTCCTGTAAATGTCCAAGTAAGACCATCCATAACTAAAGCAAAAGGATAGGGGCTTAAAGCCGACCACCGATGTAAACCAGATATAGGAAAATATTTGGTCAATCCACCTTCTATTCGAACTCAAGTAGTAGCTTTAATATACATATCTTTAATGACTTGAATAAAAGTCATATCAACATCTTTCTTCTCAAGAGCACTCCAAAGGATATCTCTTGGAACCTTATTGTAAGCTTTTTCTAAATCAATAAAAGTCAAATTTAGATCCTCATTATTAACTTTTAACTTCTCCATCAAACCTCTCCATAAATGTATAACTTCCATAGTAGACCTACCTGACATAAATCCAAATCGATTATGAGAAATATTTGTAATACGTCTTAGCTTATGTTCAATACCCTCTTCCATAATGTTAAAGTATGACACATCAACTTAATTGCTCTATAATTTGCACACTCTTGTGCATCCCCTTTATTCTTAAAATGGGGACCAAGATACTCTTTCTACACTCTTCAAACATCTTTTTAGTTTTTAAAATAATATTAAAGAGTTTAGTAAGCTAAGAAACTCTCAGATCTCTTGACTATTTTTCACACTTCAATTAAGATATCATCAGGTTCTATAGAATTTCCACCCTTAGTTTTATTTAAATCCTCCGCAACTTCTTTTTTACTAATGTGACGGAAAAATGAAACGTTTTATTATTATTAACAATATTAAGATCACTAAGGTTGATCATATTTTTAGAAGCTTCGATAAAAAGTTTATTAAAATAACTCACCCATCTATGTTGAATATCATTTTTCATAAAAAAAACACTTTTTAATTTTCATCTTTAATACACTTTACTAGTGTTAAATCTTAACTTTTATTTCCAATTTATTTGGCTAGTTTATGCATATACTTTTCACCCTTCTTATTGTCTGATCTATTATAAATGTCACTAAAAATAGAATTTTTAGCGTCGCAAATTATTCTTTTAAACTCTCTGCGGGTCGTTTGACATTTTTCTCAGTTCTTCAAGCTTTTGCATTTAAAAAAAATTCTATAACATAACTTCTTGTATTTTATCTTTTCTTGCACATTATTATCTTATATTTTATCTTTTCTTCCACCATCAACTATTTTTATTTATAAAAACTTTTTTTATTATTATCTAAGTACATCTTTTGCCACTTGTTTAATAGTGTGTTACTTTATCACACACAACATTTGTGTCTTCATGAACATCTCGAATTTTGAAATCTTGAATTTTACTTATGAAAATAATTTTATCTGTCTTTTAGATACCCACATCTAATTCTACGATAATGAATCTTAGTATTCATTATTTTACAGTTCATCATGTTAAATTCTAGAACTAATAATCAATGTTGGGTACTTAAATCCTCTCTTGGAATGACCTTACAATCTTTAGAGTCCCGATGATCTTTTCTTCTTATAAAAAAATAATCTATTTGTGTTTTATTATAATCATTCTTATAAGCAATGAGAGGCTCATCTTTTTTCTTGAATAAAGTATTAGAAATAACAAAGTCATACGCTAAAACAAAATCTAATATAACTCTATCATCTTCATTAATCACTCTAAAATCGTAGCCACCATAAATATTTCTAAAATCTTCGATAACTCTACCGACATGTCCATTTAAATCTTCTCAAATAATAATTTTTTCTTCAAGAGGTATCATTTGTATTAAGTCTTCTAAGTTATTCTAAAATTTATCTTTAGAACCTATATTTAACATACTTAAGGAGCATAAGCATCTATCATATTAAAAATTTTAGTATTAACAATAATCTTAAGAGTTATAATTATATTTCCAACTCTATTAATTTTTACAATATTATATTTCAAACTTCTATCTATAATTACACCTACACCATTTCTAGTGGGACTCCTACCAAAATACCAAAATTTAAAATCTAAGTTATCAATCTCCTTAGCATTTTCTCCAACCAATTTACTTGCTTGAATAGAAAAGATCTATTTTTTTATGAATCATAATATCAACTAATTTCATTAACTTCCCATTGAGAGTATCTATATTCCAAGATTTTATCTTAATATTAGTTTCATGAACAAACTTCTTTACGCGCATCTGTCTGTAATGTAGGAATCGTTGCTTATTTGACATTACACCCGGACGCCAGTATAGCAGCTCTTGCACACTTTTCACTGTATTCAGGTCGTACAACGTGTCGCTTCCAGGGGACGCCCTAACACTTACATAATGAACAAAATGATTAATGTCATGATTTTTTCGTCAATTTTTACGCTGGTTATCGACTACCTAACATAACCCTCTAATTTTGACATTTGAGCTTGAGACCAACAATGAACAAAAGATACATTTCACTTTTAAAAATTAAAATTGTTATATTTTTATGATATATTAAAAATTAGGTGATATAAATATTTAAAAAAAATTTGTTTTTAGACATTTACATACATGTGTTGTGGGTCCTTCCCGCGTGGCATAGAAAGTTGTTCTGTTTGGAAAAATCACAATTTAGTTTTCCCTTATTAAAAAAAAAAATGAATCTTTGTCATTTATAAGAAGCGCGAGTGCCTCCTCTCATTTGACTCTTCATTCTATTTTTATTTGTGTTCTCTTGGTGCAGTTCACGAACACAGGAATGGCCGACGACTTCACGGCATTCGGTCGCAGGAATTCTCCTCGCGACTTAGATGATTTTAGGGCATCAGTGTGAAAGAAATCTGAAGTAAGAAAATATTCATTTTTTATTGAATTTGGTGAGATTGCCAAACCCTTGTGTTTGATGAAGTTGACATTTACTATCTATTTGATAATGTTGATTTTTATTTCCTCTAGTAGTGTTCTATAGAAGAACTTTGTGTACCCATTAAGTTAAACAGTGGAGGTGTTTAACTGGCGCGAGGCACCCGTGTTGCTTTATTATGTTATTTGCTTCAACATTTATGTTGTGTGTGCTTGTGATGTAGTAGATTTTTTGCTTGCTATTTACAACAAGTGACATTAGAGTCGAGTTGCTCTAGGGATTATCTTCTAATAACCAAATGGAGGAGCCCATTAATAATAACAATATGATGGTCAAACTTACGTCAACCAATTACTTGTTTTGGAAATCTAACATTGAGGATTTACTTTGTTGATTGGAACTTGAAGACACAATTTTGGGTAATAAGAGCAAACCAACAGTGATGTCTGATAAGAATTGTACTAAGTTGAATAGAAAAAGCTATTAATATGATTTGACGGTGGGTCAACAATAGTGTTTATCAGTATGTTGCTAATGAGATAAATACCAACAAAATTTGGAAAACTAAGTGAGTTGTTTGAAAAGAAAAATGCATTGTACAGGGCCCTTCTTTTCAGAAAATTGATGTATCTCAGGTACAATGAAAAAACTGCAATTTCTATCACTTGAATGTTTTTCAGAGAAAATTCAGTCATCTGTTGATATTTTTACATTACATGTTTATTCAATCAGTAACAAAACCGGCCCTAAAAGATCAAACATTATGGTTTTATATTTTTATTGGTATTTGTCAGTTTTGCATTATTAATTATTTGTCATTTTGGGTTTTTGGATAGTTGTTTCCATATTGTCATTTTAATTTATTCAATCAGTCTTCTTATTTTCTGTCAATTGCATTAATTTAACTCTTATTTATGAAGTAAAATTTATCGTTCATTATTTCTTCCTGTTATTACTTGCATATCTTTTCTATTTAAGAAATAAAAAACATTTTAAATTCATTTAATCACTCCTTGCGTTGCATATGTATGTCGTTTTTCAAACTCGGGGTGTGATACCGTACCCAAGATAAAATAATTCTTAAATTCAACTATCAATCTAACTTTATCTATGACAAATTGAATTGAGTGGATATTTGATCTCAAATGCTTATATAGTTATACTGATTAAATTAGTCGATAAAAGAAAAATAAATGATAAAGAGTTGTCGTTTTTGTAATTAATAAAAAATACTGACTCAGTGAGATAATAATGAAAATTACATGATTTGTGTGATAAAATCATTTATTTTTAATAATAATTTTAATATTTATTACAATATAATGATTTAAAAAGATGTATTTTATTTTTAAAGCTATTAATAATATTTTTTGATGTTGGGTTAAATGTTTTAGTATTATATAAATATACAATAAATATTATTTATTAGATAAATAAATTCATAAAAATGGTGTGGTGATTTCTGGCTGAACAGCCTTTCGCG